TACCGTTTAAACAAATTTTGCTGTTTATTTCCTGCTCTCTGACATGACTTTTCAGTGAAATAGCATGCTGTGCTTCTAACACACAAACACACAGATGTGCGCCAATGTACATGTATACACACACACAAACAATTCAGAAGCACCCGAAATAACCCTTTTAAATCATCTTGTCAGAGGTTTCTTTCCTGCTCCTGTTTAGTTTCCCAGGGAGCTCCTGCAGTCAGTTTTAGATAATATTCCCTTTTCACTGTTAGTCACAAAAGCAATCTCCTTTCATCAATTAAAATATCCACACGGTGTAAAAATAAAGAATATGAACTTCATTTAACTTTCGAGTTTCTGTTTTCTCCCAGCCAGATAAACTTTCGGGAGCCTGAACTTCAGAAACACATGTGGTCAGTTTATGTTTTCTCTCCTGACTGCTCCTCCTCCCCTAGTAATTTATTTGTTACGGTTTTTGACCTCAGTAGGATTGAGAGGGGAGGAAGGAGTGGAAATTAACGTTCTAGAAAGGTTTTTCTTTCCCCTCAGTAATTTAGACTGGTCTGTGGCAAACGCGTGGTGCTATCCTTTCCTTTTCCTATGCGCCCAAAGAAAAAGTCTCTGTAGCTGTGTGGGAAGGAATCAAGTCATTGGTCGACAGTCCCGGCTCTGGGCTAAGAGAGTAAAGATCAGTTTTAATTGCTTTATAAAGGAGCTTGCCAGAGTTCTGTAGAAAAGCAAAGCATTAAATTAAGCAACCGAGTAACCTCATGACGATGCAGCAGTGGTAGGACAGCATGCTATCATTCTTATTGTACTTTAAAAACTAAATGCTGGCAGCAAAAAAATTTTTGAGTCATTTTTCTCTAAAACAGATTCCGGAAGTGCACTCTTAAAATAAGTTCACTTTTGGAGTGTCATTTTAACTAGATCGTGGCAGGCCAGAAGACAGACATCTTGCCATACAAAGGCCCTGCCTTTCCCATAGATAGGACTGCGTTTTAGCAAAATCTGCATGTATTGATTATGGCTGACTGAAATGAACTTCAGTAGTTGAGAGCAAGAACTGTAAGGATTAGCTCTTTATAAAGAAAAAAAAATTAAATATGGAACTTTAAAAGGACTATATCAAAAATTTTTATTTGAAGCATATTTTATAGGAAAAGTTCTAGGCAAAAATGAAACTGTATTTTACGTATGGAAACCAAGCATTGTTATAAACAAAATAAGGAGATTTTTCCTCCCCTGAAAGTCAAAACATTAAAAGGAAAAACCAAACAATGAAATTATGGACTAAAGAACAGTATGAATCAATGAATAGATCATAGTGTTAGAACAGGATGTGTTTACCTTAAGCCAGATACTAATAACATATTCTATACATCCAAAATGAAAAGTTAGGAAGCCATTATTAGTTTATAAAAAGAATTATCGCGTGCCGTATTTGAATGATTACCTTTCATTTATTGTTTTAAAATAGTATCAATTTTCAAAAAGCATTTCTGAGAAACATATCTTTTAAAACCATACTGTTCAGAGCCAAGGGGTCAGAAAATCAAGGAAAAGACAGAGTTTCCTAGAGAAGCTTATACATTCACTGAGGAGGCAAACAGATTCTTAAGGCTCTGGTGAAGGAAGAGCACATGATAGGGAGTATTTCAGTGACTGTGGGCACATTAAAGGTTGTTGGAATTTAGAGGTCACAGTCAAATCATGGTCTAAGAGGAGATGAGCTGCAGTTGGGTTTTGAGTAATGTCAGACCAGTGTGCGTGGGAGGAAAGGGTAAGGATTCCGCAAGGTGAGGCTGGTCGGGCCAGTAGGAAGGCACCAGTTGAGAGGAACATCAGTGGATGGTACTGACCATGATTGCAGGAAAATGTAATGAGATACTTTCCTAATGCAGACCTCACAGTAGAGAGAAGGTCGTATGCAGAAAGCTCTAGCTATCATGCAAGGGACAGAGGTTAGGCTGACGCTGAAAAGGAGATCGAGAATAATGTTCATGACCGACAGGGGTCCTTGTGCTTTTGGAAGAGGCCACGACTGCATCTCAACAGCTTAAAAATGGTTCTCTGGGACTCAGGAGAAAAGGAGGGAAGAGGAGCTTTGGAAAAGAGAGTTTGATTTTGAAAAGAGAGCCGGTGAAATTGTCCTGGACATCCTGCTTGTCTCCCTCCTTCTCAGGGCCAACCTCATCCTGGCGCATCAGTTAAATCATCCTTAAGAAGTTATTAACTTCACTGGTACTGGTTAATATCTTTACTCAGGGGAATTGAATTTAAAGGAACATACTAGCCAATCTAGTAAAAGGTTTTCATCTTTTATTTGGCTCAGTGTGTATTCAATAGGCAGTTAGTTATGCCAGTTACTGTGTTAATCGTTCCACAGCGGTGCATTTTGGGAAATGTAAAGAGCAGTGAGGAAGATATTCCCCAGAACTCTTAAAATTTAAGGGCTTCAGTGGGTTGCTACTGTGGGTAATTTCAAGGCAAGCCCTCATGTTCTCCTGTGTCCTTATAGATCTCTCTCTCTCTCTCTGTCTCTCCCTCTCACATGTTTTCTTATTATATTCTATGACAGTTTTCCCCTTATGCTGACTTCTAAAATGTATTATCTTCAAAAAATCTTAGTGTGTGCATTCTTGTAAGCCATTTCAGATACTTTCTGAGCAAGGCTGAAAATAAATAAAATCAAAATAAGAAGACTTCAAATCGTGCCAACCTGATAAATCAAATGTTTTTTGTTTGTATTTTTTCCCAACCTTTATCCATATAAATCCATAATTGGCACATATTTATAGTCAGGGTGTTCGGGTAAAAGAGAGGAAAAATAATTTACCCTCTTTCAAGGAAGAGTGGCACACACAGGCTGTAAATACTTCAGCGGGCCCTCTGCCTAGGATCCCTGGTGGCTACGGAGTCACCTCCCCCCTATTGGCGTGGAGCATCAGGGAAGCAGCTTGTGGAGAGCGCCTATGTTTAGCCAAGGTGGGTTGTGTGATAAGAGGGAGGGGGCCCGGCCACATGCTGGCTGACTCATGCTCTCAAGCACACGTGTCAGCATCTCCTCAGCTGGGACAGCCTCCATCAGAAGACTGAGCCTGACTGTGACTTTTCTGCCGCCTTCATCTTCCACACACCAATTTTCAGAACCTAATAGGTGCTGGGCACCGCTGAGCCTTCAATAGCTCAGAGGACTGATAGCGTCATGATTACTTGTTGCTGGCCCTCACACGATTGCCCTTTCTCTGGTTTGGAACTGCAGCCCGAGCTCCTGTGCAGTGCCTGACTCTTCCCCAGGTTCCAAAGCAGTCTGCCAGACCACTGAAAGGACATCAAAATGGAGCTACTTGACCAACTGCTTTGTTCTCTGGCATTTTGTGTTCCAAACTGGCAAATTTACATATGCGTACATAACTATATGTGTGACATGTGATATACAGCATTTCAGATCAGAGCTGGTCCCACATAATTTTTAGGATCCTTTTGGGGGGGGTAATCATCCAGCGATAAAGAGCACAGCCTAATTCTGAGCATGGATTTTAATAATTTCTTTACATTTACTGCTCTATGACCACAGACAATATAACTTCCCATGGCCTCAGTTTTAAAATCTTTATTTTGGACATATTTGTGTTGTTCTCCATGTTCTGAGTTTTAGGAGAAAGGGACATGAGTGGCACGGTCCTTAGCCTAGCAGGCATTGGTGCTTGACCGAGCCACCTGCCAGTGGCCGAAAGAGTTGAAGATAGATAGATAGACATCATCGTGAAGAGGCTCCTTTTACTAATATGAGAGGCCCAATCTATACCTGCCTTCCTCCTAGTAACTGGCCACTTAGATCATAAACAAGAGTTTTTCACTGAGGCCAAACAAGGCCATTGGCTTACCTACCCAGGTGATAATTCTGAATTATGACATTCCCTAATTCCAACTTGAAGGCGAGCATCGTTTGGCTCAGGAATTGACTATCAAGGCCTACCTGGAACCGTATCGTCAATTAATAGTTAGTGAACATATGACTACAAAGTGCCTTCACTTAGGAGGGGGCCAAAAAGAACCAGGAACCAAACTGCATTTGAATCAGATGAGATATTTGTGATTTGATCCACATCCCGGTGATGTAGTTATAGGACTTTAATTCATTGAGGAGCTGGCTCATGAAGGCTCACTGGGCAGCTTTGGAGCTGTGCTGTCTTGGGAAAGTGATAAAATTTCAGAGGGCCCTCATCTATGAATTTGAACCCATCATATCTACTGGCTCCTATCTGGGGGCTCTTATGCAGTTCATGTGATGTGCATGCAGGCTCTTTGTAAATGGTGAAATTCTAAACATATAAGTGGTTGTTTATATGCTCTTATACATCCTGCAGGTGTTGCAAGCTATTGATTGATTGACTTTTCCCAACATTATTTTTCCTCTATTACTAAACTCTTATTATACCTACCATCCCACTTACAAAGGATATTAAATTTTAGGGAGTAAAGTCATTTCTTCAGTTGCTATTATGATGATCATTAGTCATGATTAGGTGAAATTCTGCTGGTTAGAATATAATTCCAGGGATGCCTAGAAGGCTCCTTTTTTGTGCTAATTTCCAAAATATATTCCTGACAAACTTGCTAATAATGTAAAGTTCTGAAATTGGGAATTCATGTCTTTGTCACTATTTTAATGGAATTACATTTTAAGTTCTACCATTCATATAGACCTTATTAAGAATTAAGTTCATCAATAGTTTTAATAGGTTTTCAGTAGAGGAAAGGAATGGGGCATGAGCTAATAGGGGTGAAAGCCAAAGTCTCAGAGAAGTTAAGTGTAGAGAGAGAACACAATGGGTATGCTCTATCCGAATTTTTCTCTATGTGAGTGGTAGACTATCTGGGCTCTGTCTCACGATTAATGTTGCTTTCCTTCTCTAGGTGACCAAAAATATGCAAAATTACCTAGAAATAAATCTTCTCTACAAGGGCCAAAATACTTCAGGTGGAAGAAAGAGAAGAGAAATGGATCTTACCCAACAGGTCTTGTGTCTTCAATGGCTCTGTCCACTGGGATCAAATCGCTGAGGTAGACATTGAAGTTTCCTTCTTTCCATCTTCTTTCTGCCTCCCTCTCCTTTCCACGGGGAACCACTACAGGCCGTCCAAATTGGCCTGGAGCTTTGGGGTCCCTTGGAGAAAGTGTCACATCAATTCTTAACACATGGTGCATTCCATGTTCTTCAGGTAACAAGGCTTTTATGTGACTTTGGTTGAGTTCTGGAGGTTGGGCCTTGGCAGTCAAGTTGATTCTTGCTGGCTCTAGCCCCTCAGCTAAGGCTTGATGAGACTGAGATACCACTGCTCTCTGTGGAGCAAGTGTGGGGAAAGATGTTTCACTTCTATTCCCAGAAATGTGTTTCCCTTGGCTTTCACCCAAAATAATAGGGAGTAGAGTTTTGTTTTTAAGACTGGGGGCCTGTTTGGAGTCTGTCTGGAGCTCCTCCTCCTTGGTTATAATCACAACGTGGCTTTCAGAGAAACTGAATTTCTTCCCACCAGCCACTTTGGCTCCATCATCCTTTGGCAAGCCTCCCAATAGTACTTCGTTAATAGATTGCTTCTTTGAGAGATTTGAATTGGCAATAAACTTGGAAAAGGGAAGGCTCTTATTGGCTCCGGGTTTATTTGAATCTAGTTCTCTGCTCTGAGTCTCAGTTTTATTTAAGGCTATGGCTTCCCTAGATTTTGGCAACAGTGGGCCGGCAGGGTGTGTCCTCTCATTTGCTACTGCCTGTGATTGCTGCTTTGATCCGTCAGTATTAGGTCTGATGGTCACGTTTGGATTTCTTTCGGCTGCTTGTTTTGATGTGTCACTGCCGAGACCATGACTCTTCCCGGCTTCCTGGTTTACACCGACAGGTCCCGCGTGTACAGAGATTTCGGCCAAATGAGTTTCTCTTGCATCTATGAATGGGGTTTTCTGAGCCCCCTGAGTTCTCATTTGCTTTGCCAAGCGGCGAGAGTAGGCTTCAGGTCTGAGGTCCTGCCTCTCTGTGTTCTGCTTGGTAAAAGTCACTGGAAGGGTCTGTAGGTACTCAGGATGCCACAAAGGGGCAACCTTGCCCCTTCCTGGGGCGTTGTGCATTTTTCTTTCCTTCTGGGTTTGGTCCAAGTCATCCTCAACCTTGAGCATACTCTTCTCAGTTTTTCTAAAGTTCTCTTTGCCCCATATGCCCCTCCCGTGTCCCCTCGGTGGGGGCTTCATCTCTTTCATGCTGTAAAGGATCTTCATTCGGTCTGGCTGAACTCGGAATCCTACCCGCTCCCTCCTGACGATGTCTTCCTTGAGGACCCGAGTGTTGATCTCACTGAATGACAGGCGGAGAGCTGCCATGTCAAAGAGCAGCCAGATGACAGAAGCGACAAATATAAATGCCAGGACTCGCCCACTTCCTCGGAAAAACTTTCGAATCTTGTTCATGGTGCAGAGGCTTTGCTTGCTTCCTACCCTCCCTTGGAGCCTGCTTACCTTGAGCGGAGAGAGAGCTGAAGTAGCAGCAGCGGCAGCAGAGTTGCCAGAAATGCCCCCTCCCCTGAACACAACACAACAGGAAACAGCAGTCCAAGAGGGGAAAGCTCAGCTCCTACTGCTTGTCAGTCTCTGCCTGCGTGGCATTTCCCAGCGGAGCATCTGTGCCTGCTCAGCTGGACCCTGGCTAAACCGTGCTAAACACTGTCCTTAGGTCACTCTGGGAGCAGTCAATTCCAGCCACCAGACAGTTCAACATATCACTTGTCTCCCCGAGCCCACGTCCACCGTCCTATGAGCCCAGGAAAAGGTGGGGGCCGGGCTGGGGCTGCTACTTCTCTCCTCCCAGCGCTCTGCTCCGTCTGCACGCTGTAACTCAACACCACTTCTCATAAGGAAAACATTTCAAGCCATTACCCAGAAAACTTCATTCAGCTCTCACCTTCCGTGTTATGTGAGAGTGTGCATGTTTTTTTGGCTATTAAAGGGAAAGAAAACTTGAAGGGCATGTGTTCCTGGTTTGTAACCCCACCTACCCCATGCCTGCTCATTAACCCTGTTGTGCCCAGGTCTCTGAATGATCTGGTCCAGCAAATAATCTCTGACCTTCCTGTTTTGGCTTTGAGAGGCAACAGCTTAAAGAAGGGGTTTAGCATGATCTCAATTCCAGTAGTGGATGTTTAATTATTCAACGGTTTTCCTTGAGTGAGAAGCAAAACATTTCTTTAGAAGTCAATGGTGTTTTAAAATGACTCTATTTTCATTATTAGATCGACGAGACATCAACTTAATTTGTCATACTGCTGTAAAAGCTTCTAAATGCTTACCCTCAGTTACCATACTTATCTTGTCACAGAGCAGTAACAAATACCTTGCAGAGTGTCCTGTGGGTTGGACAGACTTGGGGAGGCACTGGGGGGCTGGCAGAGCAGTGGTCCCCATGCAGGCTTCATGTTAGACTCACTCTAAAGAGGTCCCCCGGCCCCTAATTTTGATTGATTGATGAGGGGCAGGGGCAGCGACAGCAGTTGGTCTGGTGTTGTGCTTTTTTTTTTTTTTTTCAATTCATTTATTTGACAGAAAGAGATCACAAGTAGGCAGAGAGGCAGGCAGAGAGAGAGAGAGAGGAGGAAGCAGGCTCCCCGCTGAACAGAGAGCCCGATGCGGGGCTCGATCCCAGGACCCTGGGATCATGACCTCAGCCGAAGGCAGAGGCTTTAACCCACTGAGCCACCCAGGCGGCCCAGGTGTTGTGCTTTTAAGAAGCTTCCTGGGTCTTTATAATGTACAGTCAAATGTGAGAAATACTGGTTTAGAATAAAATACCTCTTATTTTCTTTTAAAGATTTTATTTTTTTATTTGACAGAAAGAGCACAGAAGTAAGAGGAGTGGCAGAGGGAGAGGGAGAAAGACACTCCCCACTGAGCAGGGAGCCCAACATGGGGCTCAATCCCAGGACCCTAGGATCCTTACTGAGCTGAAGGCAGCCGCTTAATGACAGAGTCACCCAGGCGCCCCACGTTTTTTGTTTTTGAGCACTGCTCATAATTTTTGTGAAATTCCCTCCCAGACAGATTAAAACTGAATCAAAATCTGCATTTTAACATCACGGGTTAAAAACATTACCCATGAAGTTTGAGAAGCACTTTCCAGGAGCCCTGTTCTCCTGGGAACTTTGAGGGATTTGTAGACGGCAATGCCACTTATTCTAGTATTGGGAGCCCATAGCATCTCTGTTATCAGGTAAATTTAGCCCCCTACAGATTTGGGAAGGGAAGAAGGACAAAGTCTGAATTCTCTATACTTCTGCATTACCTTCGGTAGCATTTGGCCTTTAAATTTGTACCTTGCCCCAAAGGAGAAAAGCCTAAAATATGCAGCTGTGGTAACATGTGTCTTGAATCCGTGATTCTCCTTTTTATTCATTGCCTGCTTACTCTGGTTTGGATTGTCTACATGGAGGACAGCATTGGTATCTCAGTCATTTCCTGCCTGCTGTGATTCATCCACCTTTCCAATATTTGTTATGTTTTATGGCTTAGGTCCTATGTTAGGTATTGAGGAATATGGAGTAAAAGGACATAGCTCTTGGGCACCTGGGTGGCTCAGTGGGTTAAGCCTCTGCCTTCGGCTCAGGTCATGATCTCAGGGTCCTAGAATCCAGCCCCGCATTGTACTCTCTGCTCAGCAGGGAACATGCTCCCTGCCCCGCCCCGCCCGCCTCTCTGCCTACTTGTAATCTCTTTCTGTCAGATAAATAAATAAAATCTTAAAAACAAAAAAGGACATAGCTCTTGTCTTGGAGATCTCACCCTCTATTGGTGGATACAGACAGGTAGGAGGGTTTACAGGGGACATGATAAGTAATACGAGAGAATAATCTACTGGATTCTATAAGGATCTAGCTAAGTTCTGGGCTGCATGAATGATTTTCGAAGAAACTATCTTTAGACTTGAGGGGTGAATGAGAACATAATTGTTTCTGCTTGTATTGTGGTCCGAGAAAAGAAATATTATTTGGATTGTGAAAGGCAGCTAAATTAGTAAAATCATAGTAGTGAAGACAGAGTACAGTACATGAGGGAAAAGCACAAATGTTTGAGAACAAGCATGACTGGAAACACAGGCTTTGCCATGAATGGGCATGAGTTTGTGTGTGTGTGTGGGGGGGGATGTGCCCAAATGTCCCAAACACTTTATTAATCTCTTTCCTTTGAATATCTCACTCAATCTCCAAAAAAACCCAATAGAGGAGATGCAGTGAGAACTATCACTTTGTTATCAAAGAAACAAAGCTGCAAGAGGTGAAACAACTTGTAGTAGAAAAGGAGGATTTGGATCTGGAATAAATGACTGTGCGACGCTATAGTCCATGTACTTAAATGCCACATGGTACTGCTTCTCTCTAGCTGTCTAATCTTGTAAGTTAGTTAATTTTGTGTGTTTACTCTGTGATTAAAAAAAAGAAAATAAATTCTACCTTGCAGGTAAATGTAAAGATTAGAGAAAACAATTTTAAGTTCTTGTCATACTGAACGATGTAGTTACTGCCTCTAATATGGTTGCTGATATTTTGTGTGATAGGAGTATGGGGTGCATGGGGGAGACAACATACCATCTCTTCTCGAAAATCAAATAAGAAGACTGATGACTAACATGCTTTTGGCAACAGGGCTAGAAGGATATTTGAGTATTTTATTTTTGGCTTCCTGTTCCTAATTCCTTTATTTTGGAGTCGATCAATGAACAGTTGTTCTTTGAGAACTCACTATATGACCAAAACATTGAAGTAGGTAACTTTGTTTCTGCGTCCTAATGACTTTAAAATGCCACTGAATAGAACACCTTCGACATCAAGTGTAGCACAACTATTTAGGATCCAAGTTCCAAAATAAAGTGAGAAAATGATGGATATATGGTTTACATTACAATATTGCTTTAGATATGAAAACAGAATGCTTTGGAATATTTTACTATCCAAGATTTAAATCTTGTCCAACCACATCCCCACCTCAAATGACAGCTGGAATTAGTCAAACTCCTGTTAGAAAAGTCAACACTTATTACATCCTTACTAATCTTGACAGCTTGAAAACACTGCTTGAAAAATATCCTAAGTCTTTTATATTTATTTGATCTAAGAACAATGATTTCTTCCTCTCTCTCTCTCTCTCTCTCTCTCTCTGGTCTGTCCATATAAATTTAAAAAATAAAGCACTTGCAACAGGAGGAAAAATTGTTAAGAAAATTAAAGGAGAGTCTTGGCTTATCTACCTTAGGCAAAATTACTTACTAACTCTGGCTTAGTTTTGAGTTTTAACTGATGTAGAATACAGAATAAGACATGAAGAGTACATAAGAGAGAAAAGAAATGTTGACCTAGTCCCTTGCAACAGAAGGAGTAGATTGGCAGATTTGGTCTAAAGTACTGACTTGACCATTAATAGACATGACCATGGATAGGATCACACAGGACAGAGCTCCGCTAAAGGCCTCTTCTAGCCACTTCCCCATTTTTCCCCCCTGGCGAGTCTATAAGAATCTATAGGAATGACAGAAGTTGGTTATAAGGTACATTATAGTTCTAATGCGATGGATCTTTAGGAACCCGACAATAATTTCTGATGGCCTCCAGGAACTATACATATCTCCTCTTTTTCCTCTCTTGTCTGGACACATGATGTTCATACCAATGACAGAGTGTAGATAAAAAGAAATAGAAAACAAAGAAATTAAGAAATTCTATACTTAATAGAAGTCAAAACCCATATTATCCAACAGAAGACCTTTCATATAGGTAAATGATGCTGTTTTTTATGTTAGTTGTATTTATTTCAATGTTACCAACATAAACCTAAATAGAGGGGTGAGCTGACTATTTAAGATACTTCTGGCTATCATCCTAAATCATAGCTTTAGCTGCTCAAATTTCTTAAGAATCTATACATAGTTGGAGTGGCTATCAGTCTAAAAATATTGAGTAATGAAGTAATCCTTGGGAGGCTTTTGGAGGTGCTATTCTAATTTTCATTCTGACTTCAACTTGTAGTAAAAAAAGAAAAATAGTTTAAGCTTTTTCTCTATAAAATGGGTATATCAATGAGGGAGTGCTTTCCTTTACTTGGTTGCTGCCAAATACCATATTAATAAAAACCTCTTATTGAAAATTACTGAATGCCTGCCACTAGGTTCTCCTGGACTAGATCACAGACTGTTCAACAGGAAAGCTCTGTTTTTAGAGTAGGATCTGAACCTTTATACTACTTCCATGGCAAATATCTCTGAATCATCCTCATTGTTAATTGAAGATTAATAAACATGTTTTTATTTCTAGCCTCAAACTTCCCTAATGGAAATACAGAAATTTAGAAGTACTTATTCTAGTTCTCTGGATTTGCAATAGTGTTACTTTCTCAGGATATTTGAGTGTTGCTTGAGTATATATGTATATTCCAATTAATATCTGATTTCTTTAATGATTTTTACCTAACTGCTTAGCCCTAAGTACAAAAGATATAAAAAAGGAAAGATGCATCTAGACATATATTTTATGGAGAATAATGATAATTTATAGATGTATCACTGAATTTGAATTTAGATTTAAATTTAGAGATTCTAGTTAAAGACAATATGGGATGAAGTTATTATTCATTTGAGAAATTCAAGTGGGAAAGCCAAATAAATATTATGCATCATTTTGGTTTCTTATTTTAATATGGTCATTTTTTTCCTTCAAAATTCTTTTTTTTTGAGAAAAAAAAGTGTATTTAGT